AATTCTTAACAAAACTGTCATCATGATGCCATTAGGCCCATGTTAGTTAGTTAATCAGAGTGTTAGTCAAGGTAAAAATTTCAGTCATACATAACAAAACAGTTCAATAATGGTATATGAATCTCTAACAAAGTACAAGAAGATGATTCTCAAGATCAAAATCTATGTGTGTACATAGCGAAAAAATTGAATACTGAATGTTTTTTGTCAAACAAGCAATAAAGACGGTTAATAAAGCAGGGCGTAGGCGTGACATCCGGTTATCAACCAAGGGACGTGTGTACTGCTCATCAGTTCGCTCCGTCCTTCTCTATGGCTCTGAAACATGGCCAATACGAGTTGAAGACATGAAAAGGTTGACCGCTTTCGATCACAGATGTCTGCGATCTCCTTCTCACGTTAGGTGGTTTAATAAGGTAAGTAATGTTGACGTAGAGTGTTGGGCAAAGAGGCAAAATCAATCGACGAGGCTATAAAGTTACATAGATCGAGATGGCTAGGTCACGTGGTGCGCATGCCTAACCATCGCCTCCCCACTCCCCGACGGGCATTACTAGCTGATATAGGTGCAGGTTGGAAAAGGGTAAGTGGTGGTCAAACAAAAACATGGCAACAATCCATGAAATCCTTGACAGTTAAACTGAGTCAGGTAGGAAGATGCAGACTTCCGGGTCGGGGCCCTCGGGACTCTAGGAATCAATGGCTGGAGACAATAGGTTACATGGCTCAAAGTCGTTGTCAATGGCGCAGATGTATTCAGTCTCTGTAATCTTTCATATTCCTTTCTACCATTACCCATTCTGTTTCACTCTTATACTTGTCAAACTATTGATTCTCTTCACTCATTTTCTTGTCTACCTCTGTGTGCTATTTGGAACGTGGCAACTCGAACTGGTGTACTTCGGTGCCAAGTTCTATGTTGGATCCAGACAGACAGACAGATAATAAAGCAGGATTTAATGAATTCATCAAATTTCGGTAGAACTCGTCATCTGCTCAGTACTCTACATACACGGATATGTATACTTTTGAAATTACATTGTGAGACATAAAACTGATAAGTAAATAAACTATATTGAATTAATCATGAAGAAAGACAGGTGCAAATGTTTTCCAGGTCATATTCAAATAGATAAGAGGAGAGGGAGTATGAGAGATTAAACTTTAAGATAAAATGCAATACGCTTCAATTACATCACTTAGATAAACAATTAGTCATTAGAGAATATAACAAGAATTGCAAACAGACTAATATCAATAGTAATAGATATAACAACAATAATAATATTAATAATGTTGAAGTGAGTTAAGATAATGCTACTGATAAAGGATAGTTTTAAATGAATCAAGAATAATAATAATAGGTAGAATAATAAGTAAAACGTATTACCATGGTAGATTCAGAGTGACGACCATCTCCTTTTGTACACAAAGACCTGGTTTATAAACTCGAATTGCACAAGCCTCTGCAATTCCAAGCATCTTCTTGTTTCTTTGTCTGCTGACAATAGTGAATGACTTGACCGCGTCGATATCATTCATGTCCGTAGTCCACAATATGTTTTCTTATTGAAGATTTTGCCACTTCACACTCAGCCGGTTTCAACCATTTTGGCAAATGCTCCATCATGCAAGTAGATACAACCGCCTTTCTGTACAACCTATGTATTTGCTTCCAAAAACACACTCAAATTGATATATGCGGCAGTTTGAAGTGTCGAGGATTGGCGACTGGTCTTTCCCAATCCAATGTAGTTTGTTTACTTATCAGTCTTATATCTCCCAATGTAATTTCAGAAGTATATATATATATATATCCGTGTATGTAGAGTACTGAGCAGCCGACGAGTTCTACCGAAATTTGATGAATTCATTAAATCCCTGCTTTATTAACCTTCTTTATTGCTTGTTTTAAATTCGTATCGGGAAATAAATGTTTTCAACGAATGTTTTCTGTCAAGAAGGAGAAAAGCAGCAACGCAAAGATGTTGATTAGTCTGAAATCAAATCAATGTGAAGATCTAGAAAATTCAGCATAAGTCAGAAGATTCGCATTTTTAAACATTCATCTCAAGCCAACTGCGGTGCTTCTGTATGCCGCATAGACGTAGTGTATCATAAAAAGCATTTCTAACAGGCCACTGCAGACATGGCTCAAAATCGTTCTCAAAGCCTGGCGCAGATGCATCCACTCCCTGTGACTTATGATTTCCAATGAAACTATATCGATCTTGGTTACTATTATTGCTTTCCCACACCTCGGTTTATTGTCTCTATTATGCATTTCTTTTTACTTTCTTCTGTTGCTTTGTGTGCTACAAGGAGGGAGTGTGGCGACTTGAACGAGTGCACATCGGTGCAAAGTTCTATGTCGAAAACAGACAGACTGCAGACTTTCATCAATATCTACCTTCGCCGGCTCGTTACTGAGGGGTCAGAAGGTCTGGCGGAGAGGATAGACAACAAGCGACCCTGTCAGGCAGCGAACACACCAAGAAAGTGTCAACCAGTAAACATTCACAAAGAAATAGAGATAGGTTGAATATGTACTAAGGTGACCGTTGATTTCTGTCATATATCACTCGCCAGATCCTTGAGTGAGACCCTGGAATGGGGAGCCGGTGAGTTGGGTGTGCCTTCGAAAGTTACCATGGAAGAGATCGTGGGGAGAAGAGATGATGGATGGCCTATGGGCAATCATGGAGCCAGTTGAAAAAGACTTCAGAGAACAGGAAACGTACTGCTGAAGTCCGGTGTTTTTTCCAATTTGGAACCCAAGGGAATAATAATAAGTAACGTTAATACTATCTGTCAGGAAAAAAGATCCATCACATGTAACAGTTTGTATTGTAAATGTGGGAGGGAAATTCTCCTCTCACTGATAGTGAAAAAAATATAGAACTATAAAATTATAAATATAGTCTGAAAGTTGTAATGTAATCCTCGTGATATTTTGTAGACAATAGTTTGTATTCGTAAAATCATTCACTGAATGTTACTGTAGTACTACCCAGATAAGTTCATATAAAATATTTCTTATGTAAGCAATATTTTATATATGTATACTTTTCAATGCGTCGGTGGCACAGCGGTTAGGACGCTCTCCGACCATGCACATGGTTCGGGGTTCGATCCCCGGCCGACGACGCACTCCTTTACTTCGCTAAGCCATAAATAATGCTAGTAAAGAGGAAAGATTTGGCATGAGGCTAGCCACCCCCATCCTGTGAAATTAAACACTGCCACAGGAACTTCAAGACTCTAGCTTGAGGCCCGATGTTCCACTGGGATAGCGAAAGAAAAAACTACTTTTCACTAGCAGGTTTTAAACAAGTCATAAAAATAGTAATATACAAGAACAAGAGTTTTTTATTGGATATGGAAAATCACAAGGAGTGAATGCATCCACGATTTTGAGCCATAGCACCATTAATTATCTCCAGTCTTCATTGGTTATTACCATCCAAACGACTTCAACCTGTCAGCTAAGAAGTCTACAACTCCCTACGTGGATTTCATTGACTGAGGAGACTATGTTTTTGTTTGACCATTACTTGTTCTTTTCTTACCTGAGTCTATATCAGATAACACTGACCGTTGTTGAGGAAGGGGATGGCTAGGCATGCAACCGTAACACATGTCTTAACAACCTGTCAGTCAGTGTAACCTCTTCGATTGATTTCCCCTCCCACTTACCTAGTACTCGACCAATGCTTTACCTCTATATTTCTCATCTTATTAAACTTGAACTGTATAATTTTGACTTGACACTAGTAACTAGTGTGGCGTGTCTAGTCCCCTCTTGGGTGCAGACTGAATTCTGTCAGTCAGGTTGTAATGTGGCCACCATTCTAGGTAGCTCGCCATCACGGTGCATATTGACTTGATGATATTGGATAGTTGGAGGCAATCGCCTGGACCTAGGTCTTGAGCCTGAATAGCTCAATGATGGCGTCTCTGACTGCAGCTATCACTGAATGACGCGGGTTCGAATCTCAGAGGGGTGGGACATGAGTTCCTTCACGGTTGCAGTTACGCCTTTCTGACTGGTGAGTGCTAACTAGCACGAAATATAGATTCAAATCTGAGCTTCCTGTGGCCGATTACCTCCAACCATCCAATATCATTGAACTGTATAAAACTTCAGATTGCTAATTTTTATTTATGCCATCACTGATGTAGCCAACCAGAAACCAAACCGGTTTGGAGTGATTCTACTCTCTGATGGACCCAGCCAAACTGGCCCCAAACTACCGAAGCAGCTGTTGGGTGTTTAGTTCACTTCGGCATGGTTAGCAAGCACTATTGGTTGATGTATGTATATGGTATGCAACTAACTACTCATCTCAATTAATCAGTAGTATGTGGTTTTGTAATCGAAGATATAAGTTTCTCAAGACTGTTATATATAAACTAAAGATAGCTAGCTAATGATCGTGAGTCAAAGCTGTACTACTGCACACCGTATAACCTAGTGGCGATAATATTTATAAGTTCGCTCGAGCTAACATGTTGTATTATCAGTGATGATTTGATTGGTGGATGGTGACTAGCAGCGGAATGCACATTTCGTCCTACTTGGGACTCGTCATCTGGATATACCTGCATTTCTGAGTTCCCATCGAGGCTTGAACCCAGTTCCCATAGTTTCAAACGCCAAAGCGTTATCCACTAGACCACTTGGGCTACGAGAGCCACCTCTTGTGCAGCGGGTCATATTAATTATTTAATCGAATTTTAGATTTTCCTGTCGACTGATTGAACCGAAGGGCTCGAGGCTAACATGTCAACCTTGACACTGAGCACTTCGATCCAATTAATCGATGGGAAAATCTAAAATTCAATTAAAAGTGATGATTTATGTTGTTAAAAAGTTGTGGAATTATCCAAGTAAGATTTCTGCACTTTTGATAAATATTTCTTTTTGTGCAGAAATATGGATATCTTTTAATTTTTGTTATTATTATTTGTTTGCTTACTTGTTTTCATTTTATGCACAGGAACAAATGCTCTTCTGTGACGATTGTGATCGAGGCTATCATATGTACTGTTTAAGTCCACCATTATCTGAACCACCTGAGGGCAGTTGGAGTTGTAAACTATGCGTTGAACGTTTCCAGTCAACTGCTGCTTCATTTTCTTCTACCTCTTTACTTGAAGTTAATACAATAAAAAAGTCGGATGCTTGTAACAATTCAATAAATCATAGTAATAATAATAATAATGATAGCAGAAGTATTTATGGAACGAATTTGAATGTGCCTTGTCCTTCAACATCAATAACAACAACAACAACAACGCCAGTATCGTCGTTATCGTCTGTTGGTAACACTCTTACTGTCGGCGGTGGTGTTGGTGGTGTTTTCCAACCTTCCTTTAACGTTGCCTCCTCCTCGTCTTCTTCTTCCTCTTCGACATCATCAGCCACCTCCTCCTCGGTGTCATTGTCATCGTCCTCATCCTCCGCTGCACTTTTCCAACCGTCAACACATCTTCAACAAATCCTGATCAATCATATAGATCCATCAGTTTCTTAGCGTGTTTATTGTCTTCTATATAATGTATGTTTATGGTCTTTGAGCATGTACATTCTTCTTGCTCTTGTTTTTTTTATTAACTAGGAAAACTCTATTCTCTATAATTGTGTTTTTATAATGAACAAATAATTTTAATGTATGCATGTATGTGTAGGATTTTCAAATTTTGTATTCTTTCTTTATTCATTTATTATCATCATCTCAACAGTTAATTTCTACTTCCTTATATATACATCGTAGATACGAACTACTTTTCTGGTTATCTGTCTATAAGATGATGAAGCTGATTTAATGAAAAACGGTTCGAACTCCGTCTCTCTTCCTCTGCTTACTTGATCGTTATTATTACTTGTATTGTTTTTATTTATTTACTTATTTATTATTGATATGTTGCTCTAATTTGACTGAGAAATGGATCATTTTTGCGTTTCACGCATTATTATTATTATTATGTCTTTTCACATATTTTGACTTTTAGCACACATATATACTCTGTCAGTGTCTGTCTCTCCTATCTCTAAGGTTGTCAGAACCACAGTCAACCGCAATGATCTTCCCCTACCCTCACCCCCCGCCGCACCCCAAAAAAACACCACATAAACATTTCTATGCATAAATCGAAGCCAATTGCTTTTTTCTTTTAACGATTGTTTATTACTACTACTATTATCACATGGTGTGAAACAACTTTTGATAGTTGTCGGACTATACGGATTATACGATTCTCCCTACTTCTTCTGTTTTCGACCTCCGCACTTCCCCCTCACCTCACCCCACCCCGCCCAAACCCTTTTTTGTGTTTTTTTTTAAATTTTCTTTTACATTTTGACGATGCAATGCAGAAAAAGGCTTTAATGATCTCGGGTGTATGTATGTTTGCGTGGTGTGGTTGCGTGCGTGACATATATGCATGTGTATGTATGTATTTGCTTTATTATTTACTTGATTGTGCTTCGTTGTATGTATATTTACTACCACTTCATATGTGATACACCTTTTCCTTCAGGTGTGTTTCTCTCTGTGTGTGTATGTGTGTGCTGTGCAGTTGTTATGCGATTTTGACAAACTGACGGACTTTGATTTTGACTTGATTTATTTCCTCCATTTATTCGTTAGTTTTGTATGCCTACGTGCGTGTGTGTGTGTGTGTGCGGTTGTATGAAATGTGATTTCTGCTTCTTTGACCTCTATTGCTCTGAGTATTTTGAGTTCAGTATTTTATATAAGCACACTTTTAATGATTACGGTAGTTTTTTTTCTTTTCTTTTTTACATTTCTACCTTTGTGCAAGCACATTCGCATGCATATGTATAATTGTTCATATTATTATTATTGCTGAAATTTCCGAGTAGCAAGCAGTTGACTTCATTGCTACCGAGGCCAACAGTTGTTTTGTTTTTTGTTTTTTTTTCTCAAGCATTTTTCTTTATTGACAAGTGTTTTGTGGTGCGATACACACTTATTCACATAATTATTGTTTTTATCAAGTTATTGCATTATTACTCTTATTTTCACTTCCACTCTTATTATTACTATTATTATTGTTATTATTACTACTCTGTTTATTACCAATATTATGACGACTATATAACCTGTTTTTATGGTGAACACTAATTATTATGATTATTGTCAATATTATGTGTATTTAATGTATATCTATCTGTGTAAATGTCTCTGTTATTCCATTCATCAAACAATGAATGGTGTTCAGACTGTTCTCCTTTTTTTCTACTACGACACAATAGTAGTATATTTTGTACAATTATTACTATTATTATTAATTATTATTTCTTAACTTGTCCGTCTCACATACATATATGACTTGTGTACATTCGTGTCAAGGGTATTTTAACATCGTCTATTTCTTGTGAAATCAGTTGAATAATGAATTAATTAATGAGTCGAATTGCTTTTTAGATTTGTAAAAACACAATGTTGAGTTCAGTTACTGAAAAATTATCTTTTATGTGAATTTATTTAGTTGTAGAAGTAATACACATATTATTATAAATTATGCGGTATCAAGGTGTAACAATTGTGATAGCTGACGATATAGTCCTTCTAGGCGAGGACGCTGATAAAATCCAGCAGAGTCTTCTGAACACCTTTAGCAGTGAGCAATCTACTAATGTTTGGAATGCGATTCACTCCTGCTGTCAAATTTAAGATGATGCTACAGGACTGAACTGGACTACACTGACTCCTAGTTTAGAAATAGGGGGTGAAGTGGTAGAGAACGTTGATCGCTTCATTTATTTGGGAAGTACCATCAGCCGATGTCAACGGGTTGGTCTCTGACGAAATCTCAGTACGGATACAGAGGGTTAGTTTAGCATATACCGGTTTACGCAGTCTCTGGCGTAGATGTGATATCCGGCTGGCTATCGACAAAAGGGAGGCTTAACTTGTCTAAACGGAGTTTTACGTTGAATCTAAGTGCTAAGTGGGCAATTTTTGGTAAGCAGAACTAGCATTTTGTAGTGAACCAAACGTTCTGTTAATGCGGCGCTCATGAGACACCACAAAAGGTATTGGTTGTTGTTCCAGACAGCAGGACAGTAGCCAATAGTAGTCGGAAGCCGCTGAAATATGTGTGGATACTGGTTTGTCTGTGTGCTTCGGTGCGCATTGTTGTGGAGTTACTGAACTAACCGTGATCGGTCGTGTGCTGTTTCACCTGTTTGTGTCGCGTGGAATTGCTCTGCGTCGCGTCAATCAGTTATACTTTCATTACCTGGCGAGCGACAGCTAATTCAGAACTCGTACGGCCCATAGAAACCTGACTGTCTAATTAAAACAAAGTATTGCGATGTCTACTGACGGGTTTCGACGCGATGTGATTTCTGCCAGGTGCTGTGAATGTCAAGGTGAAGGTTATCGTACGTAGGTGTTATTTTTCACTTTCGGTTAATTATTGGTATCCCAGTCAATAATTAAAGCTCCTTGTGATATTTTAACACAGCATTATTTCAAATGGTTCGATTATGACCAATCCTACCTGTATATGATTATTTAGAATCCGTCGCTTATGTGATCTATTGTTGGTTTATTCTTAATAAATATATAAATTGGTTAAAACTGTCTCATTTCTCACCATCTACTGGTTAAAAAGAAGATATTTGTGAATCGCGCAAAATCAATCAGTGAAGTTGGTGGTTCAGCGGTAGAATGCTCACCAACGATGCACGTATTCCAGGGTTTGATTCCCGGTCGGCGGACGCCCTTAGCTGGATGTAAGCCAGACATGGAGGGAAGGTTGGACTTGAGGTCTAGCAACCTCAGTCCATTGAAAACTAACACACCACTGCTACTGAAACTTCAGGTTTCAAGCTTGAACCCCACCCCGTCGCCCCTTCGACTGAAAACTCATAAGCATGGAAATAAAATCAGTGGCCTACAGTTTACAGCTCTATTCTTCGCAGTCTACTACTGCTGATGATTTAGATTCCTTATTGTTGGTGTAGTCTTGCGCATATTTGATATGCATGTCGTTATTGATATTATTATTATTATCACTGTCACCACTATCATTATTTATTTTGTTTTTACATTTACCTACAAACTTTCTGACTAATTTATCAGGGTGATTGCTAAGTTTCAAGGCTTCTTTTATGTGTATCACTTCCTGTCTTAGATTTTCCTTGGTACTACTTAGTTTTTGTGCTCTGTCATTTAAACATTTCACTAATCCTATTTTCACTGACACAGGATGGGATGATCGGAAGTCCAAATATCTGTTTGAATGTGTGGGTTTCCTATAAACACCGATTGGGAAAAATGTAGAAATCTTAAACACTTGAAGCACCAAAAATGACAGGAAATTTCTAGAAGGCTTTGAACTTAATCAGATGTTAGCAAACAAATTTATCAACTAATAAAGAATAAATCACATGACAAGAAACTTCAAACTCCAAGTCAATAGAAATTATCGATGAAGACATGAATCAACAAGCAATCACGACAAAGAGAGATTGTCAGGAGATAGAGTTAAGTCATTCAAATATATGTGTAAAACTTGGGCACTGTGGTAGTAAGTAATTCCATATTAGTTTGTTTATTACATGTATCACACAGTGATGAAAGTATTATTCACTGGATGACAAAGTTTCGAACAAAATTTATTGTTTTTCATAATCATGTCATCAATTATAATCATACGACTTCGAAACTTCAGTTTTATAGTTTTCTTTGTCTTCTCCTATTTGTCATCGTTGGGGTAGTAGAATTTTGGGGTATGGTGGACGTATGTAGATAACGCATTGACTGTACTCAGAACACAAGATAAAGATCAATTTTTCGAACACATTAACTCGAATGTAGAGACAATTCAATTCACTTATGAATTAGAAAGTCAGGAAGGGGAGCTTCCAATGTTAGATTACAACTTGAAAGAAGATAGGAAGTTAAACACTAGTGTTTACAAGACACCCACGCATTCAAACAGATATTTGGGCTTCCGATCATCCCATCCTATGTCAGTGAAAATAGGATTAATGAAATGTTTAAATGACAGAGCACAAAAACTAAGTAGTATCTAGGAAAATCTAAGACAGGAAGTGATACACATAAAAGAAGCCTTCAATACAAGAAAGGAACCTCGGAAACCTTACGCAGAATTCTTAACAAGGCAGGAATAAAAGTGGATGGCATTCAAACCCACAAACTCAATTAGAAACAAGCTTTGTCGGTTAAAGGATCCTGTGGAGCCTCTAAAGTAAAACAATTTAGTTTATCTAATAACCTGTTGGAATGATTGTCAGGTCAAACTAGTAGAACAGGGGGGCAGTCTGACTAACCAGACATAAAAACCTAGCAAAATCTAGATTGGTTGACCCGAATAAGATAAGAAATCAAGAGAATAGTTCAACTATAGCACTCACTACATGCAGTTACTCAACCATACAATAGGATGGATGGGATAAGATGACAGTTTTAAAACCTAATGTCACAGGGTTGAGGGAGAGATTGATAACAGAAGCTTTGTGTTATCGAATCAACTGCAAATACGTGTGATAGGAATGATTCAGCACCTGTCCACCCAGATATCTGAAAAATTCTACTACGCCTACGACGACAAATAGAAGACAAGAAAACTATAAAACTGAAGTTTCGAAGTCGTATGATTATAATTGATGAAATGATTATGAACAATAAATTTTGTTCGAAACTCTGTCATCCAGTAAATAATATTGTTTCACTATGTTGTACATCTGATAAACAAACTAATATGGAATAATTATGCATACGCAGATGTAATACAATATAAGGATATCTTGGTTGTGAACTGATCAAATTCGATTAAGCTCTCACTCTCTTTATTCTTGCCAAAATATCTCCGACCATTTACTCATCGAGGGTTATGCAAATCATCAGATGAATCACTTTTATTTTTATTTTTTTGTTTAGTCACATTTGTGACTATGCCAAGCAAATAAAATTCTCATTTAGGATGAATGAAGCGCTTTTATAACATTCTCGTCTGAAATTAGTGTATTTCAGGGTTTGCTAGTATTGGTTTTTTAGTAATTTTGTTTGATTGGTTGAAGGATTTCATCATGAGCTGACGTCGGTTAAAGAAATGGACAGCTGTTTCGTCCTAGTTTGGGACTCTTCAGTAGTACAGACCTGCCCCAACTGAGTTCGGACCCAGGATCTTCTGGTTACAAGGTGCACTCATAGACTACTAAGCCACGGTGACCCGATCCAATGACCAGCCCATGAATTCTAACTTCTACCAATTCTTGATATGGCATGACAGCTAGCTAATCTCTTCGGTGAGCATTCGTCCCCACGCCCGATGTGTGCGTAGTAATGAAGAGTCCTTAACCAGGACGAAAAATCTGTCCATTCTTTCAGTACTGTCATGAATTAAGAAAAGTATGTTGTCTTTACCCTCTGAAGTAGGAATAGCTGAACCAGAGGTCATTTCCTGTAAAGTGTGTTTGTGATAAATTTTAGTCGGAATGGAGTGAAATTTACTTCCTAAAAGGTAAGCACCTAATGCTGGTACCTTCATTATGTCTTACTATTAGCTTAGACAAGAATGTTCGGCTGTAGTACCCTTTGTATACTTCGTCGTTGATAAACTTTTCTGTGCGTCGGTGGCACAGTAGTTAGGACTCTCGCCAATCATGCACGTCATCCGGGGTTCGATCCCCTGCCGATGCACACCCGATATCTATGGTCGGCCTGCAAAATTTGGGCTACCGATATCATATATGCTGAAAATTCCATACTTGTACTGAAAATACGGTGTGGCATCAAGCTGTAATAAAAAAATGAAATAAAATTAATTAGTACAAACAGGTGCTGTCTCGACAGTGAGTAATAAAAAGTTTTAATGTAACCTTGTTCCAAGAGTTGATCATGGTTGTTGAAACTGGTGCATGTGAAATAAGGCCTAGAGATAACTAAATTTCTTTTTTCAGTTTATAGAATAATCCCTATGTGGACATTAGTGAAAATAAAACAAGTGGTTCAGCGAAGAGGCTCTTTTCGGCGAGTTTATTTTTCCCCTTGATCTGTACAATCACATTTGCATAAAAAATTTTCATGAAAAGGTTGTAACAAAAGTGATGATGAGTTTTCGCAATCATTGTTATTAATATTTAGTCGATACACAAAACCTTTAGTCATTCAGGTAGAGAAACCAAAGTTATGCAAACAAAACAAAATTATTCAACACTTCTACGTTGGACCACCGACAATAAGACTCTAGAAGATTTGGATTTCACAGATGATATATGTTTAATATCACGTAAACTCGAAGACGTACAGGCGAAAACCAACAAACTGGCTGAAGCAGCAGGCGGAGAAGACAAGACTCTAGGTGAACATAGAGAAGACTGCTGTGATGAACAGCGACACCAACCAGCATCAATCACCATCAACAGGGGAGATTCTACAGAGGTTACCTGCTTCACTTATCTAGGAAGCATCGTTTCAGTTACAGGTGGAACGGATGGAGATTTAAAAGTCAGCCAGAATAGGAAAGGCAAGATACGCCTCCATCAACCTGAAACCAGTTTGGAAATCTTCTCTACTCAGTATAAGAAACAAGATTCGCATTTTTAACACCTATGTCAAGTCAGTCCTTCTATACAGGTCAGAAACTTGCACTGCGTGTAACGAAAAGCATTTCCAACAGGTTGGAGACTTTCATCAACAGCTGCCTTCACTTCATACTGAAGATGAAATGGCCAGAAAGAATTAGTAACAAGAAACTGTGGC